ATGTTGAGACATAACACAGAAAGCAGCCCCTTGAAAAACATTTCCAAGCATCTCAAAAGACAGGTAGAATACAAGAATGTTTGTTTTACATGTGTACACGTATAAAGAACAGGCTGATCCTTCTCATTAGATAAAATATAGATAGATACAGAATTAGATACAGAAATCCCAAAGAAATACTAAAATTTTTATGGTAACTTACCTTCCCCCTTCTCCCCCCTTAAGATTTGCTAGATTATGTGCTGATTCCATTACTTTGTGTTTCTAATAATAGATATAGGAAGTAGGAGAAATGATAATGGTACCACTGTTGCAGGAAGGCTACCTCCTTCACAATATAATCCACCCTCGCCACCACCTCCACCAGCAACTACTCTTCAGCTGGAAGGCATGGTAAGTGTGTTCCTGGAACAGAACTGTATTTGCTAGAAATGAAACTGAACTTCCTTGGTTGGAGTTTTTTGAAGAGAGTCAAAGTATGAAAGGGAACCTGTGGTTATGTTCAGATTGAATTGTGAAAATGAAGTGACTGGAGCACAGCTGCTGTGACTGGCTGTACTTTCAGTAAGCTTTGTTTTTTATTTTGGTGAAAATGCATTACACTAATAAGACAAGATCACTACAATAAGCAGAATTTGCTCTCCAAGGTTCTTTATGTAAAAAAGCTGTTGAGTTTTTCTTAAAAATGCCTGAATTTTTAAGAAAATTTTTAAGAAAATACTCTGAAAAGAAGAAAAGCTGGCTTGCCTTAAAGCTTCTTTTTTAGGGGTGTAACACATATAGGCACAGAGGGAACTCAGCGTATTGTCATGTCAGCTTAGCCAGATTAATTATCCAGTAGCTTGGTTGTTCTGGACCTGCCCTGGAGTCATCCAGAAAACATTGCCACTGTAAAACCATTTCATGCCGAAGTGTAGGTTAAAACAAAGATGTGTGTGCCTCTCTCCTGATTTATCGTTCTAATAGTGACAAATGCTATTCACACCCTTTCTACAATTTTTAGACAAGTGATTTTAAATTATCTAATAAACAGGAACAATAAAGGTAAAATATCTGCAAAGACATTAAAATTAGAAGGATAATTAGAATAGTAAAAAACCTGACTTTCTAAAGAGTAAAATTTTATTTTCTAGAAAGTTATATTCATTCTTTGTAAACTCTGGTTTTATTCACAGTTTTCTAGCCACTTTAGTCATGCAAGCACTTCTCAGACCAGGCTAGATTCTGATTCTCCAGTAATCATCACTAGCACAGCAACAGGATCTGGTGTGACATCAACTCAAAAACTGGTAACAAGCTAAAATTAACCTTTTTCTTTTTTTCTATCTTAAGGTACAGTTATAACAAATATTAGTTTGGATATTGTCATTTCTGCATTTTTCAGAGCAACACAGATATGTAGTTGAGGACACTGCTGTAGAGTTTCAATAGCTGTGTGAAGACACTAGCTTGCAAATGCTCATTAATGTTACATAAACCCATGTACACTAAGAGCAATTTTAAATTCATTTTGGAGTTGAGGAGGCAGAAGTGTAGCAAAATAAGGAACAGAAGAATGTATGTACACTTACGTATAGTGCAATAGGAACAACTAGTGTTTGAGTTGATACCCTTTTGTTATGGAAAGAGTATGCTTTGCTTCATTATCCTGCTGTTTGAAATGTTTTCTCATTCCCTTTTCTGTACTTGTTGCTAAACTGCTCTCCTTTCTTTTCCCCATCTGACACAATTTGCTATCAGCTGTCAGAGAGAGATGCAGCATTATATGCATGGAAGTTTTTTGGTATCTGCTCTGTCCTTGCTAGAAAGGCTTTCCACATTGAAGTACCTTCAGCTGTCACTTGAGCATGCAGTCAGTGAGCAAAGCAAAGCTATCCATGCTGCTGGATTTTTGTCAAATTAGCCTAGCTCCCCTCAGGACAGAAGTCATTTGCCTGAAATGCTCTATCTTACTTAGCATGGAAAAAGATGGTTGCAAGTAGGTGGAGCAAATTCAGTCCTGTGTAGCATAACTGGACTACCTGCAACATCACGTGGTCCATTTAGGCATCTGGCAGATAAAACTAAGCAAAAATATTAGAGCACTGTAAATATTATGTTTAGAATTTTTTACCAACTAATATTTAATTTACTTATAGCCCATGGCAAAAGTAATAACGTCTGCTCAACAGAAAGCAGGAAGAACAATCACTGCTCGTATCACAGGCAGAGCTGATATGGGACAAAAATCCAGAACTTGTGGGAGTTTAGCTGTGATGGGAGTTGCTCCACCCATGAGTTCAGTCATTGTTGAAAAACATCATCCAGTCACTCAGGTAAGTCAGAATTATGTTTGTTACAGTATTCTTATTACAATACATTTGGTAATAGTTTAAAGAAAAATTATATTGTGAAGAGGTATTAGACAAAACTCAGACTTGAGTCCTGTTTAAAATAGCAAAACAGTACTTGCAGTCTTTGGGCTGGGTAGAAGGCTCTGCCAAGGAGATTGCCACTTTAATCTATTTGTCTTAGTTCTGTAGTAATTATTTCACAGGTATAGTAGTCTCGTATCTCTTTCTTAGCCAGCTCTTCCATGAGAAGTAGTTGATCCAGCAAGGTTTGGTGTCATCACCATGCCACCACAGTTTAAAGACAAGTCATGGTATAGAGCAGGAGTGACTGAAGCAGAGGTGGTAGAGGTACAGACTCACCTGACATGCTGAGCTGAGCAAATGGCAAGGGGGAAAAAGTAAAACCCTTGTCCAGAGGCAATAACATTTGTCAAGTCTACTGCTTGTTGTATTTTGAATCCTATTCTCTGTAATAGTTGCATTCATAGGATATAGAAGCAATATTTAAGAGCACTATAAAAGTGGCCTAAATGGCCTAGGCAATCACTACACATATAGACCAGTCTGAGCAAAAAATGGTTTTACCTGGAGGTATAGGGAACAACTGAAGATAATTTTTGTTATCTTATAACCTGTAAAATAGGATCTGAGTTTTCTCTGTGTTATCTGAAAGTCCAGTTTCTTTTCAGTGATACAACCAGAGCAAGCAGAGCTACTTCATGTCCCTTAATCTGGCTGGAGTTACTGGTAGCTGTGTGAGGAATGTTCTACTTTCCCCCATTTCCTGCGGTGACTCAGAGTCCTATGGCAGGCTGCACGCAGCTTTCTAGAATTTGGGCTCCTAAGCAGATATTCATAATTAAATTGTATGTCCTTAGAGGGTTAGAGGTTCAGTGTGATAATTATTTCATTAAGAACAATTTCTGGATTCAGAGTGTGTGACTAGTGTCACAAAGAATGTACCTGAACACTGTATCAAAAACTGATTTCTGAAAATGTAATAAATGTGAAACCCCACCTCAAGATATATTCTGTGTACTCTTTCAGCAAATAAATGCCTAAGTGGAAGACAATCAGATTGAAATATTTCTCGAGTTAATCTGAGAAGGGAGAGATTTTACCTTGATTAAAAGCAGAATAACTACTGTTTATTACACTAAGGTGGCTAGTTTTTTGTGCAGAAAATTAATTGTTGATAAAATTGCAAAACTTTTCCTTTCAGAGATCTTTCAGAGGCTTCCTCATAGCAAATAATAAGCTTCAAAAGGAAAGCTGGCATGATGAAATTAGCACTACAGAGGAAAATTCTGAATGATTTGGTAAAAAAAAACCAAACGAACCAACTTTGAAATAATATTGAGGTGATAAAAGCTCAAGATAGCTAGTTAGAAGTTTAGCACTTTACATTCTAAAAACTGTATTACAGATAAGAAAGGAAAAAATTACTCGTTCTGTTAAAGTAACCCTTTTTTTTCTATTTTGGTAAGTGTATTTCAATTTGCTAGATTGCTAATCTTTGTTTAAACTACAGCTCAGCTGGGGCTAATTTAATGGGAATTTTTTTGTACCACTAAGTGTTTTGATGTATCTGATTACTTTTCAGCAAACTGTATCGCAAGCCACTGCTGCTAAATATCCTCGAACTGTGCTCCATTCTTCTGGCTCTACCACTGCGAGACCTGCAGGACAAGCTGGGCGAATGCTTCAGGGCCAGACCTCTACCAGTGTTCAGTCAATTAAAGTTGTTGACTGAGTGAATATCATTATCACTGGTGGGGTTTTTTTATCAAGGTACCTCCTCCCAGTCTTTTCAGATCTGATGTAGTAGGGCTTAAAGTACATATCATGTTTTTACCCTTTGCTAAAAAAAGGGGGGGGTTTTAAAGTGCTTTTGTAGTAAACATCTGGAGGGGAAAAAAACTTGAACTGTTGTTTTACCTCCAAACTACTTGGGAACTTATTTTATTAAGATAAACCCTTTCTATTTAAGGAATCTTTTGCACACTTTTAAATAAAGGATACAATGTGATTTTTGTCTGAATCTCTTTGTTTAGTTCCAAAGATATTAACATCTGTGTTCAAGAGAAAATTAAATTTATTTTTGTTATAAATGCTTTTAGTTGCTTATGTGCATAAGTGTAGTTGACATGCACCTACATACATTATTATACATACATACATGCATAATTATATCCTACATCTTAGTGTATTTGAATGAAGAACAACAGGGTGGTATCCTTCACACCCCAGGGTGCAGCTTGGGCCAGGTGAGGTACTGAGTCCATCAAATTCTTAAACATTCTCATTTTTCAAGCTAATGTTGCAGAACTTCATGCATTCCATAATTTGAGGATTTACCAGCCTGTTCTTCATATTCCTGTGATGCTTTGCAGACATGTCAAAATAGGTTGCACACAAGAGGGCAGTTTGGTGTAAAACTTCACACAAAGATACAGATTATCTTTTTAGTACAAACACTAGGATTCAGTCCAAAATAATGCAGATTACATACAAACAGAAAAGGTGATTCAATTCTTCCATTACATATTGCTATGTTGTTATAAAGAAGATAGACATTTTACATAATTTTTCAGATATGCAATATATTAAATGAGAAAACCTTTAAATATGTTCAGCAAGGCACTACCAATATTAATTCAAGAGTATGTATACAGCATGACAGAAAATTCTGTAGCCAGACACACTTGAGTTTAGACATGACATTTTTGTGTATTTTCACTATATAATTCAAATGCTGAAGAAGAATGACTTGTCATAATCCTAGGAAGACTTTATGAAAAGCTGAATCTCAGATGAGGCCAGGTGCTAGCCTATTTCTGGAAGTGTTGATTTATTTATACTAATAATTTTTACTTATTAAATTTGACCTTTTTTCAGGTAGAAAACATCTTATTTATATTTCATGTCAAACATAAAATTAATTTGCAGTTCCAGTATGGAATTAGTGAATCAATGTTAAGTGAGGTGTAGAAATTGTAAGGGGGGGCTCTTGCTTAGCAGTATAGTCATAAATCACCAGTCAGCCATTCACTCTTAAATTCTTTAAATTGTTGTATAGCAAGCATTTGACAAAGAGGTAACCTACATTTCAAGAGTGCAAGTTCTTCTAGCTTGGAAAACGTTGTACAACTTCAAAATAGGTTTTTGTTTCCAGAAAAGATATTATTTGAAAGTCACTTTCCATCTGGCATGTAATTCCACCATATCTGCCATGTTTTATTGATGAACTCATGAAACTGCACATTTTCTGGAGTCCATGCCAGTGCTAATTGAAGTTCTGATCTTCTCTGTAAAGTAAGAGAAAACACTTGCTTGGCATGCTCTGGTTTTTACAAGGTCAAACTAATCTAACTGAAGGGTTGCCAGTTACAATTTAACCATGTGTGCAAGACAAAGGAGGGAAGCAAAGTTTGCACATTTTTGTCTTCCTTTAGAAATCTCAAGTCTCACTTAAATGCTTTTTCTCAAGCAGCCTCACCCCGCAGCAAGGGCAGAGTCCCAGAGAGGAAGAGTGTCCTCCAGCCCTGCCACAGTCACACCATCCCAGCACCAGCGGGGACCTCGGCACCACACTGCAATCTCCTGGAAGACAGTGTAATGGGCTCTGTATCAACTTACCAGCTAAATGCTGAAATCCTGCTGCCATGAGATCTTCATATAGATGTTTGACAGGATTCTGATGAGCCAGCAGTGTCCCATGTAACCAGATGAGCAACATTCTGTTTCCATGTTCCTTGTAACTTTTTTTCCCTATGCAATACACAAAGTACTTGTTCAATATGCTGGAAACAGTGTATTTTGTGCTTTTGCACTTTTAGAGTTGCAAGAGGATTTAAAACCTGCTCAATTATTTCCCTCTCACCTAGAAGAAAAATGAAGATTGATGCTTATAAAAGTTTTTTTAAAAAAATCCAGTTTTATCCTAATGCTACTGTTAAGAGAGAAAAAAATCCTAATACATCTTAAAATTAATTTTTCCTTTCATTTTTGCCCAAGATGTGGAAATATATCCTAGAGTAGCAGTGAACAAGTATAATATGTGCTGTAGAAGTATTGTTTTACCAGCACTTAATATGCCTGAAACCAGAAGCTACTGTTTCATGGCAGCTCTGCAGACAGAACATGAACAAGGTCTTTCTGTGTCATGAGGCTTCCCAGGTCCTCATTTGCAGCATGACCTGCAAGACCCTTCCATGCTGCTCACTGCTTCTGGTTTTGATTTCCCAAAAAGAAGGTTTTTTCAGGCCAAAAGGAAGAGCAGAAGTGGCCTGTAGTTCTACAGCACTGCTTCCTGGGAACTAGGGACAAGGCTTGTATCCCTTCACTGTGTGATACTCACATAGTTATAAAGCAACACTGCACTGTGGGTTTTTTTAGCCTACATATTATGTCTGGCCACTCAGATGTTACTACCTGTCCACTGTTCTTCAATGGCTTTAATTTGTTCATCTGTGAACTTCCAGAATATGGCCAGTTTTTTCCATTCACGGGGTTTTAACTGGTTGTATGCTAGATTCCAAAGGGAGGAACGGATTTGCTTGGTCTGTATACTGTGATCTTGTTTGAAGGAAAAGCTGAAGTCTGAGCCATCATCGCTTTGAGCTAAATGTGTCTGAAAAAGAAAGCAGGTGATAAATCTTGTAAGAAAACCTTTGCTTACTGAGTAGTGGACAGTGTCCTGGACAACCAGGTGTAGCTACTGACAGGTGATTTGCCCAATGCCTGTAAAGGAACCATGTATGGCTCATAGAAACAGAACTGACAAAGTCCTCCCTTTGCCGCTATGCCTTACTAAATTAATTGCAAAATAAGCCACTTTCTTTCTCTGGTATTTGATACACAAAAGCAAAGTAACAGCAAATACTGTACCAGCACTGCTGTGCTCCTTGACTCTGTCTACGTTATATGTCACGTTTTGAACATGGCTGGGTTTCAGGCACAGTTCTTTCCTCTTGCTTCTAGAAGTGCTGATCTTCCTCTGAGAAGAGGCACCCACCCTCGGTGAGGCACTTGCTCAAGCTGTTCCTGCCTCTGACCTGTCAGCTTCATGTGGCTGAAGTGGAGACTTGCAGATCCTTTGCTGGCAGCATGAGTTATTGGTTTCAACATGCAGAACCCCGTTCAGCAAAATGTCTTAACAGCAATACACACACACACTTTGAACCTGAATCTGGTTTCATTGCCAGATAGAAACCAAAACCAAATGGATTTTACCCTCCAGATTAAGTGATGTTGCTACTGTGTGTGTAGCTCACCTGAAACAGGAGTGATGGGGTTGCTTCTTGTTTGGGCACCTTTGCAAAAACCATGTCAATCAGTGATTTCAGCGCTGAGTGGTGCCCAGGGAACAGTCTCATTCCTAAGTAGGTAAGCTCAAACTACTTCTATATTTCATTTTGTTTATGTACTGGTCCTGTCTCAAATCAATCTCCAAAGGGAAAAAATGTCTTCAGGATTTGATAGAGTTGATAGAGGATTACAAAGCAGGTACTAAGCAAAAAAGGAAATGAAAGCATGCCACATTAAAAAGTGCTAAGCATAAAGTGCTTCGTTCCAAATTAAATTCAGAAAAACACAACAGGATTATTTCCTATACCTTATGAGAGTCTTAAAGAAAAAAACAGTCTCAGTTCAGTAACTAAGCATTATCATGCATGTTTGATTCCATTCATCTGATGCAACTCTAAAAAAATGTTTGCAGCAGCACAGCTTTGCTTTGCTGCTTAATTCTGTTTTGAGGCAATGGCAAGGTGGGATAGTAAAAGCAGCTCTCAAATCCAGTCAAATCCAGCCTGGACAATGATAGGGAAGAGTTGGGTAGAAACAGTAAATACGAAAAAAGGTCAAACATAGAGATGACACTCACGCATTAGTATCATGTGCCCTTCCTCACAGCTACATGACATTTCCTTTTGTAACTAATGCTTTGTCATAGATGATAAGTCAGCTCAATGTAACAAAAAGACAGTTCTTAAAATAATAGTTCCAAATGGTGTAGTTTCCTGTGTGGTAACACCACCTGAACAACATCATATTCCACAGCTGTAAGATCTAAGCTGTTCTCAAAGGCTGTGCTCTCAGCTTCAGGCAATAGGATACGAACACTTATGTTTGTATTTCCAAACATCTCTGGTGCTCTTGTAGAAAACCATCTGCCTAACTATCTTTTTTTTCTCTTCAGGCAATTCAGTACACAGTGCCAAGAGGTTAGGAGCATTATGGGCTTACTGCTTTCAGACTTGTCATGTCTTCTGTGGCAACAGCTGACTTCACTTCTAATTCCCCTTTAAGCCAAAAGAAAAAATAACATAGCTGACAACTCCAGCTGAACTGGTGCAAATCAAATATGCACAATACAGGGCGTTGGGGGAGGCACTTTTCATGATAATTAATCTAGATCTGTGATTTACGAGCCCTGTAACATTAAGTGTCATTAATTTGGCCACACAGGGCAGGAGTGGGGTGGTAAAAGCAGCTAATTCTGTGCCTGCACTGGGATGGGATCAGTATGCTTATACACTTGGCTAACTTAGTGAAACAAACACTGCCTGGCAGGAAGCAGGAGTGAGAATGAAGTCACAAATTGGTATGGCAATTTGGCCCTTTAGGGAGGCCCAGCACTATGCAGCCTACATTTAAGTAACAACTAGGGAAAGAAAGTAAGATATTCAGACAATCTAAGCTGTGTCCTTCACTTGTTGCTGTATTCTTTTCCATTTCATTGATTTAATTTTATAATTAGCACAAAAGGAACAGAACAGGGAGCTTCTGCCAAAACAGCTGAGCCCTTGGTAACAAAGGAGTGACAGACATCTGCACTCTACCGTTTTTCAACCACAGATTCTACTGTGCCAAAGGATCCAGGGATCAGCGTGGATCCAGATTATCCCAGCTCTCATGCTGATGGCACAGTTTGAATTTAGTTTAGAATCTCCCTCTGCCCCTTTGTCTCTCTGTGTAGAGCACAATGCAGGAAAATGTTAAGATCTGCCTACATTTTTAACAGCTAGTCAGGAATTAAGCCTGCATCTTGCAGCCTGCCAAAAGGGACTACCTCAAGCAAAAGACACTTCAAAATCAGAATTGGCTTTTCCTTTATCGCTGTATTCAGTGTAACGAAAGATGCCTCTTACCTGTTTCATGGTGTAATACCTTTCTGCTTTAATGATCATATCTACAATGAGGGCATGATTGCTCCTTGATGCCACAGCTAGTGCAGTTTTTCCATGCTGAAAGTAGAGATAGTGAATCAGAACATTATCTCAGGTAAGTGTATCATAGAAGAAATGCAGTTCACAGAGACCCATCGTTTTTTTTCTTTTTTTTTTTTCCCCTGGAAAAGGTATTTACTACAATTTTATGGCTTTTGAGTAACTACAATCCAAGTTCTATGCTCTGCATGAGCTCTATCCCCTCAGTCCAGCAGTGGTCAATTTCTTTCCCACACTGGACTTCCCTCTAAAGAATTTCTAGTGAGGTATGGCTGCTTTCAGAAACCTCTTGCACTCAGACTGCTGCATACTTTACACCAGCTCACACTCTCCAGTCACTGCTTCCAAGTTCACACAAGCCCAGGCATCTCGAATTGAAAATTACCACAATACAATCCATTCCCATGTAATGGTTAAACTGGCATTTCAGATGATGGGCTGGCAAAGTTGGAAATTGACTTTAAGGGCAAACTTGTGCCTTGTTTTTTTCGGTAAAAGAGGTTAGCTCACAGAATGAAAAGAGAATTACTTTTCTCATGACAACTGAAATAAGCACAACTATAGGATGATGCTTCATGGGTAGTACAGGCAGCCACAGTAACTAAAAGCCATTGCTTTAAATCCAGCTGCAGAGGTCTGCTCAGTCTACCTGAACCCATCTCTGCTGTCAGCACTTCAGTGTAAAGGCATCTCAGTGGCTCTAAAGGGTTAATTCTGCAATGGTCTGTTCTCAGATTTGCACTGAGTGTAACTGCCTTGGATTTAAATATTCAGGGTGTTCTCCACATATCAAGTGCTAGGCATTCTAGAAAATTAGACCTAACAGAAGCCAACCTCTTAATTAGAAGATGCAGTAATGAGGTATTTCAACTATCTAGCTGCTATAAAGTTCCCTAGTATACACTTTCTGAGTTGTAGCTCCTAGTTCTGCTCACGATCATTCTCGTTTTTAGAAAAGCATCACATTGGAAGCCAATGAATTTACATTTCATTAAACCTTTAAGGCATAGGCTTGCTTTATATGTGAAGAGTCCATGTGAAGAGAGACCATAAGAGCTCCATGGGTTCCACCTCTAGAGGGGTGCTCTACACTTCGCAGGGAGGCAGAGGGGGTGGGTGTTTCTGGCTTCCTGTGCTGGTGCAGGCATGCTGGCATCCTGCATGCACATGTAGCATGGTAGTCTTGCACACAGGGAGCTCTCTGTGCACTGTCACTCACAACCAAAGACAGTTTTATCTGCAGATGGGAAGAAGGAAGAGCTCCTGAGATAGCATTTCCTTTGCTCTAACAGCTTGCAACTCAAGCAGATGTATGACACGCTCTGGAGACTGAGGACTCCTGCTGCCAGGGTATGGAGGCCAGGCCAGGCCAAGACAACAGGACAGGACAACACTGTGCAACAGAAGCAGGCCCCCCTGTTTCCTGTCTACTGTTTAGTCAGTTTTGGCATCTCAGCACCAATTCAGTTCAAAGGGGACTGTACTTGCGAATGTTCCCAGTGGAGGCATGGCCTCAGAGGTCATCCAGCAAACAGGCAAGGAAAAAACTACTCCAAGAAATAAAACCAGTGCAGAAAGGTGACACAACTTGTAGTGGTTCAGAGCCAAATTCTCATAACAAGTCATGAACTCTATCAAGATTGCTGTAATACCAGGGCACTATCTATCCCAAGACTTGTAGGTGCTTAAGGTCAAAACAAGCAATAATTGTCTGTGTCTGCTCTTAGAATACAAAGAGGTTGAGAAAATTTTCCAGTGGCTAAGGTGCTGTCTAAAGTGAACAAGATTTCATTCTGGGTTAGCCCATATGAGAACTGGAGCTTTCTGGCAAGTGTAGGCATAATTCTGAATGAAAAAGCTTAATTACAGTGCAGCATCTTACCTCAGCCTTCCAAAACACATCAATGCCCATGCTCAGAGCCCCAAGCCTCATGTCAGGCTAGGGAAAAATGAGACAATCCTAGTTTGTAAAGCTTCACTTCTCATGAGGACAGTTTTGTGAAGAAAAATTACTTTTTATAAGTTCCTAAAGAGCTAGATTTTTCTCATAATAAACATCAAATCCATCAATTCGAATCCATCAATTCAGTCATACAGAAAATCTGTAATAGCGGTAACTGTAAAAAGGGGAAATTTAATCTAGCAAATTTGTAAAAACTGGGTTTGGTATTTTGTCCTTTAAAAAGCACTTGCCTATCAACTTTGCTTTAGTACTTCTTCCAGCCATTGCTCTTCTTGCCTCAGTCTTTCCAGGCTGAAGGGTATAAACCAGAAAATAAAATCATATAATCCTTGCATGTGTGAGGAATGCAATTTACCTTATCCATGGCCTTGAGATCACATCCTGCCTTAAGCAGCACTTCCACCAGCTCCACATTACCAAGATCAGCTGCCAAATGCAGAGGGGTTTCCTGCCTCTGGAATTATAGACACCAAATAAATGTAATACATCAAACTCCCTCCCAGAAGCAGAATGCTCTCAGGCTGAATCTAAAATTGATTCACAACAAGAGGCAGCCTTAGTGAGAAAACACAGAATGAAATAATTTAACTTCTGAGTGATCTACCTGCCAGTTTTATTTCAGGTAAACAAGACAGCACATGGGATCTCTGTAGGAAAACCAGACAGAAGTTCCAGCTGGCTCAGAAAAAGTTGCTGTAATGCCCCTCTAATGTATCATAAACTAACAAGTTCTCTCTCTCTTCCCTCTTAAAGCAAGGTGTTTTGGGCAGAGTGCTTCATGCAACTGCCAACCTGCATCAATATTATCCTCTCAAGTAACCCCTTCCCTGCTGAAATGCATTCCAAGACAACTAGACATCCATAATTTTCAACATTATGATGCAACATCCACAACAGGGCTTTTTAGCGAGCCCTGCCACAAAATGATGATGAGTAGCAGAAGTCTACCTGTTTCCTAATGAGTTCAGTGAACTTTAACTATACCACCTGAGAATCAACTGCTTCTGGGTGAATTCCTGTGTGGCATTTCCAATTAGTTGTTTAACCTTATGAACAATAATCAAAATCATACTCATAACACACTCTAGTATGAACAGTGTGATTACACGAGGATATTCAAGGAACCAAGTAGCTGTTACAAGAAGGTGGGGCAGACCTATCATGGAGGATAAGAAGGGGTAGTGCCATTTGTTCCTCTTTCAACAAAGCACCTCTCCAAGGAGGAAAGGGAAATGGTGTAATTGTTGATTTTCTTCATGAGAGTACCCAGATAGTGGCATTCTAGGGCCCAAAAATACCAGATTAGTCACAAGACCAGTGCTTTTATCATCACCCTCACAGGCAAAGAAATACAAAGTGACACACAACACAGCAAAAGCAGAAAATGGTCATTAACAATTGTAGGAGGATTTGTACAGAAAAAAAGGGATCAAGCATGACAGCACCAAAGTAAATATGACACACATCAGCAGTGGATGCGTGACCTACAGTGAACTCACCAACAACCAGCCAGGTCTCCAAAGATCACTGACACCAAGTAGAGGCTAAAGAATCCTGGTAAAGGTGGGGAAAACATGTTGCTGTCTCTGGGTGGGCTCAAACCACTATCTTTTCAGTTAACAGCTGAACATGCTAACTGATTGCATCACAGAGACCTATGACATCATCATTCAGGGTATTGCTGTGTAGTGTGGAGCAGCACTTCACTCAGCTCTGCTCGGCTGTGTCCCCTCTCAGCTCCCTCAGCACCCCCCTGTATTGACCTGGGGGCACGGAATGTGAAACAGAGAAATCCTTGGTACTGTTCAAACACTGCTCAGCAACAGTTTTAACTCTGGTGTCTTACTAGCATGGTTTGGTCACAGATCTAAAACACTGCACCCCGTGGGTTGCTTTAAAAAAAGATTCACTTCTTTCCAGTCAAATGCCACGCTGCACTGGGTTTCCCTCTGAGGTCAATACCATCGAGACAAATATTTCTGTCGTTTATTGCACATGAACCGTAACACTTGAACAATAAATTAACCCATTATCCTTATCTTCCACAAACAATATTAGCATAGCATGTACCAGTGACTAATACAAGCAAAAAGATAAGGAGGGAACCGCCTCTTCCTTCCTACTTTTTTGCACTCTGAGCTCATAAGGCAAAAAAAAAAAATCAAGCAAAATCCAAATAATCTCTTCTTTACCAATGAAACTGTGTTAATTTCCAGTTTTTCTTACATTGTTTAAGGAGTTTATATCATGATTGGCATCCAAAAGGCTTTTTACTACTGGTAGATTGTTACCAATGACTGCTAAATGGAGAGGGGAATTCTTCTGCTGTGGAGGGAAAATAATAAACTGTTATACTTGGGTACATTATTAGAAGTTTATTCAAACAAGAAAGAGGTTTTAATTGAAAACTACCCATTGCAAAGGCAATATGCTCTAGCAGAGCTTCAAGATTGCAGAAAACACATCTCAATGTGCAGTTATACCAGAGATGGTAGCCTGCTCCTACAGCATCAGGTAGACAAATACAGCTGAGAAAACAGAAATATGGAGTTGCATCAGTGTGTCACCATTTAGGAATGTGGCAAGGCTCTCTTCTTAAATGTTCCTACCTGGGATGTGCTGCTAGCCTTGGCAGAGAGATTAGGGTAATGTTAGGGCTCCCTCAGAACATTGGGTTTGCCATTAGTTGAATAGCCTGAAGACAGATTTATTCTGTATTTGGTAAACAAATGTCAAAACCTACTTTCCAGGAACAAGCACATTGCTGCTGGAAATATTCTTTGTACTAAACTGACTTGCTGTCATATTTAGAGCAAGTTACAGCTGGTAAGAAATTAAGGGGTTTCATTTGAGTGATTATTTATTAAAGTAACTGGACACAGGTCCAACACCAGTCACAATCCAATCATCTGGTTGGCAAGTTCACTTTGGATGTTGAACCTGTGACTCATCAATTTCTTGTGAAATACAGTTAAAGAATAATTCCATACCAGTACCATTCATGGGTGCCAGACACCAGTTCGGTGTCTTTATAAAACACAGCCATTTCTTCAGGGCTACAGAAAAATAAAGGAAGCTCTTATGCAACACCCTGATGGAAATGTTTTCAAAATATAAATTATGATTGTATGAGTTGCTTCTCCTACAGAAAGCCAATGAGAACAAGTAGCAAAACAACTGCCCAAACTTTAAATCATTTCCAGCACATCATAAATTTTTCTTGCTTGATAACTTCCTGCAATAGGCCAGTGATCACTGCCTGTCATGAAGCCAAGATGCCATTTTCATCCTGTGCTGTAGAAATGGAAAATAATTTCCTATTCATAGCAAATCTCGGGTGTAACAAAAATTCTAATATCTAAACTGAGAGAAGATTTGCGTAATATAAATACCCCTTCTTTTTAAATCCCAAAGAATGGTGGCATGCAGATTTTGAGGCCATTGAGTGTGCATTTACCTTCAAAGGGTGACAACACCAAAGTGTTTATGTACTTTCTAGTTATCTTTATTCAAAATCCATTACGAGTGTTAACTCTTTGCCCACAGCACACAGGGAGGCCTGCTTTGCTAGTTCAAGCAGGGTACTTTGCTCATCTTCTCCTTGGCTTAGCCTGGCCATGTCTACACTGCACTGGACTAGTCTGCTCAGGCACTCCCTGGGTTGTGCAACAGGACCTTGTCTCTATTGGTCTATACATGTTGCTAATCAATATCCCAACTAAGTGATAACGTGTATAGTATAAAATTCAAGGAGCTACTCAATCTCCTTCAGCTGTCTGAATTCCAAGGAAGGCCACAAAAGACAGGACAGGCTGAGCAGTAGCAGAACAGTTATTCCGATATACACTCACCTCGGGTTTAGGAACCAGGTCAATATTCTTACCAATAAGAAAAGTAACCAAGGATAGATGTCCATTCTGAATTGCAACCTGCAAAGCACTGCTATCATTCTGAAAGAAATTTTGATAGACAGCAAAAACTTACATTTTTATTCCTAAAAAAAAAAAAACAGTACTAAAAAGAGCTACAAATATAGGATAATCTTCCATTTAAGTTTGTGTTATTATCCTCTCTGTGAAAAAAACCAATCTTTGATAAAATGATACAAAAAGAAGTGGATCAGCAGTCAGGATGATGTGCAATTGCTTTTGTCAATAGTGAAGGAATTTCCCATTTTTACTATATCACAACAAGTATGCTAAAGAACACCAGTATCCAACAGCCCTTTTCAATTGTCCTCTATACTGAGCCATGGACAACAACAATGTCAATACACATCCTAGTCTGTTAGTTAGCCTGTTAGACCTTTACCAAGCAAGTACACTCACATTAACAAACTTTAAAAATAAATCCATAGAACATTTTTACATAATAATTCTGTGTAAACAAACAAGCTCTCAGTCTACTGGAATCATAATCCTCTTGCAGCAGGCAAACCAAGGCCATTCAGCAGATGTGAGTTGGACCAAAGTCCAGGAACCAGATGTGGATAACAAGAACAAGAACATCAGATCAGTCACTGCCAAAACATAGGATTTTCAGTTACCCTAGTCTGCTACATTTTCTGGTCATATGATGTACTTTTGGGCATACAGTAAATAAACTCCACCACAGTACTCTTTCAAATAAATATAATGCTATTTTTCTTCCACATCAGTTTTATTCTGTTAGTACTCTCTACATCCCCATTCTATTTTATTATTTTTCCTCATTTCATAAAAATAAGCAGAGCAAATACACTTTCAGTACACAGAGAAAAGGGAATATAATGTCCTTCCCACTGCCTGGGAAGTCCCACTACCTGTGTGCTGTGTACATACCTGAGTTAAAACATTGATGTCACTCCCTGCATCCAGTAAGAGTTCAGCACATTTTTCATGACCTCCTTTAACAGACAAGTAAAATGGAGTTTCTCCGTTCTAGACCAAAAGAGAGAAAATGTCTGTTCCCATTTAAGCCACGTGACTAATAAGACTGTGACACAAAACACCTCTGGCAGGCTCGATCAGGCTCTTCCAGCTCAGTAGAAAAGGTGAGATGGTCCCAAGAGAACACAACCTGAATGCTCCTAAATTAGCACTTTAATGATGTGGCAACTCACCAACAGTTCAGTGACAGATGGCATTTATGTGGACAGAGGTACAGTAACGTTTAATGATACAGAAAATTATTTAACAACTATTCATATATTAATATTCATAAATATTAATCGTGTTCTTTTCAAAGAAGACTGCTGAAAACAGGCACAGAAACAAAGATGGTGGGTAGCAGTTGCTGCCGGTCAGCAACAGCATGATAGAACGTACAGTAAGTACTGAATTCTGTCAGTATAATGCCATGGATTTCTGACAAATTGCAAACACCTAGTGCTACTTATAAGGAGGATTTTTAATAGAAATAATCTTATTTCATATTTATTTCAAATCTTCTCACACCAAAAGAGTCTCCATGTCTCCACAACAAGTCTCTAAAATAGCTTACATCAGCTGCACAATGATCTACTCCCTGCTTCTAAACTCCTAAAATACACAAAGGTTTAATAAAAATTACTCTAGTGTTTTAACATTCACAAAAGCTTTAATAAATCCTGTTTGTACTTTGCTTAAAATCCTCACACCATTATTCTGGTAAACTGAATATATTTTAGAAACCGAGAGATCGGTTTCTACACCACCCAGAATATGTCCAGCTGGAGGGGAAGGTCACTCCATTAGCCATGGCAAGGCAGGGGCACAAGCAGTACAAGCTTTGTGTGCAGAAGCAACATTCTTAGACAAGGCTTGGAAACAAAAGGGCTTCTCATTTCAAAGAGGCTTGTGTGCCTCTTCAGCTTGCATAGCTGAAAATAGCAGACAAGTTGGGTAAGAGAGAACCTCTCCACCCACAAATCTGTTGCTGATAAAGGAAGAAGAGGGCCTCAGGTAGGAGTGGGTGTCCCTTACTCATTTCACCCACTGGGCCAGCAGAACAGACCATCAGCCACACAGTATGTTCCCACAGTGGGCATGACAGCCCGCAACAAGGGAAATTACCTTGCTCAGTTTGTTCTAGCTGCCCCACAGAAGAAACAGAAGACACAAAGACACTTTGGAAAGCAGGAAAGCTGAGATGAGCAGCTAGTGTGCATTTCCTTTCTCTACTCCTTGTTTAAGCCTCAAAATTAAGCTCATGACTGCATCAGCTCAAGCATACAACCTTCACAGCTAATATGCAACTGATGAATATGTCGGCTGAGCTCACCAACACTAACCCAGGAAAGCAAAAGCGGGTAGGCAGTGTTTGAGCCAGTTTCATGCAGGCAACTGAGTTCAGATGGCAAGGTGCAAATCTGAGACCTCCTTGCTGAGGTATCTATGATGGTAAATGCTTGGTATGCAAGTTGAACTGGTCCAGTGAATAGCTTGAAAAGCACCAGAGATGTTATATGTGAGATGTTAAAAGGAATGGGATCACATGGTTAAAAATGCTGGACAACAGAAAGCAAAGTGGAGGTTAAGGCCCTTCTGTGTTTTCTTCTACCAGTAGTTATGCAAGGGCATGCCAAATGCAGGTGAGGTCATTGTGTGAGGAATAGAGGACAGAGAAAGAGACATTGAATGAGTTAACAGAGCTGAATTTATTGGACAAGGAACAAGGAAACAGGATGCAAAGGTACTAGAAAAGCAGCAGAACTAAGGAAGTCCGCTCAGTGCCACATCTATTCTTTTGAAATTTTATTTTTTTGACAATTTTTCATGTCTCTAATTTTATCTCTTTCTCAGTGTCCTTACCTGATTGAGGTCATTTATTTCCTCCCACTGTTCAAGCAGAATTTCTACAACTTCACTGTGACCATTTTTGGCTGCTAAATGCAATGCTGTGTTTCCCTCCTTGAAATTAAAAAGTCAAATAATATTAAAATTTTAAAACACAGAATAAAGTAAATATATTAACTAAAACCAACACAAAGCCTTTGGTCTTTTACATACAATTCTCTCTTATGTACAAGGAGAAGGAGGCAGATCCACAAGACACATTCCAAGACTGAGACTAACTGGAAAAGGGCCTTTTCACATGTAGGCAGACATGATCTTGTTGATCTAGCTGGTTTTCTGAAAACTTCAGTGTGTACCAGCAAAAAGACTGGGTTCCGCAAATATGGGTATACACCAAGCCCTCAAGACCACTGATTTAAAGATTAATGGCCAAAACCTGGGTAAGCACATTTGTAGTTGTATTTCTGTGGAAAAGAAATCTTTACCTTATCTTTTTCAGATGTGAACAGTTTCAGAGCAATCAAATTGTTTATCATGTCAACATGGCCTTTCTCAGAAGCCAGAAGAAATGGCTTTTTACCTTTCTAGAAAACAATTATGGAAAGAAACATAGTGTTAGAGAAAGTAGAAATACTTGCTTCTGGTTACTAGATTCATGGCATGCATGTGTGTACATGTATCCTACATAAAAATGTATGTATCATAAGACTAAGGAGATTAATAGAATAGTAGATATACACAAGAAGATTAATAACTAAAAATATATAGTTAGTGTAAGTAAACAGATTATACATCTTGCATATCCTGAAGAAAATACATGAAAACTGTTTAGAAATGGTGAAAATGTAGAAATTATGCTCAAAATATTTAAATCTTAATTCTTCTCAGTATGAAAATATTTATTGAAAGAACATTAGAAGTCTGAGGATGCTCAGAAACAGGCAGTAAAGAAAACTGCAAGATTTATTTCCATGGTGTAACATGGATGATTTGAATTCTCTAAGCACAGACCAGAACAAACATATCTCAGAAGTTTCATCCTGGAGGCCTGAATTTAGAGCTGCACATTCTGGGGGTTTTTTGGGTGCTGTCTAAATTTCAAACTGTTTACAATTCAACTGCAGAAAGTTATCTTCACATAAAACCATACCACTGTTCAGACAGTGAGGCACTTAACCAACTAGTTAAAACAGCCTCATCTCATATCTGATAGTGGCCTATATAAACGTCTAAGAAAAAGAAATGCAGGCAACTAATAGAGAATTATGAAACAACCTCAACAAAGAGAAGATGCTTCTTCACCTTTCTTTTCCCAAGGCCTAAGACGAAAACGTTTGTTTTGTTAAATTAACTCTGTTTTGTCAGCCTTGTCATGTGTAAAAAGAATTCAGAATTTTGGGTCAATAAAGTTCAAGGCTGAAAAAAAAATAAAAGAAGGGAGATCTGTTCTTTTGATGACAGATCTCACAGGAATAAGTTTTCCTCATGTAAAAATAAAATATCCTACTTAGCTATGTAAGCTTTCAAAACAAGATCCCAACATTGTGGAAAGGGAAAATAAAAACACAGCAAACCTGATGAGGATGAGGTTCTGGCACTGTTGAAGAGTTGGTGCACCTTTGTAGAATGGCTGCACAGAGTTTTATGTTCTGTCTTGAAAAAATACGCCCATGTTGGCCATAACTGGCAGGTTTTGGTAAGGGCAGGGGGCTGTGTGGGAGGACATCAGAGACTGCCCTTCCATAGCCATTTACAACTGGCTCCACAATGGAATGAACTGACCCACCACGTGCCAACACGCAAGCCATCAGAGGAACCCATGATATCTCTGTGAAAATGTATTTAAGAAGGGCTGGTCACTGCTACAGGGAGGAGGCACAAGGGGAGATACAGAAGGAGACATGAGAGGATGCAAGAGAGGAGACACAAGAGAAGGTACACCTGCAGGGAGACTGCAGCCCATGGAAGAAGCTTGCTGAAGCAGAGGAAAAGAGTAAGAAACAAAGAGCAGAAAAAAAGGAATCCACTGTGGACTGGCCCCAACCTCCTCTGCCTCCCATTGCCTCACCAATGCAACTGAACATCACATGCAGCAAAAGCAAGGAGAGCAGGGGAGGAGAAGTTTCTGCAGTTCAACTGAGATAATCAAAGAGGGAGAAAAGGTTTTTTCTCCAAGTGCTTGTCTGGCTGTTTGTTTTACTCGTTTCTCAATATTAAAGTCAGTAATTAAAAGTTTACGTAACTAGCAATAAATTAAAATTAATTGAATTTCCCCAAGTCAGGATTGTTTTGTCCTAAACAAAAGCCTCATGATATCAAAGAAATAAACAGAAAGAAACACACTGTACCGCATCAGGCTTGTTCAAGTCATTCAGATGAAGTTCTTGGAGAAAATAATCAACTATTTTAACGCTGTTGTTCTGAGCTGCAAAGTGCAGTACATTCATTCCTTCCTGAAAAACCATAAGTGACTCTGTAAGAATAAGTTTGATTTTTTTCCCAAACAAACATGTTTAGAGTTGATAAAAATTTGTCATAACAAACCTCATTCTTAGCCTTTTGATCAGCACCTGCTTTAACTAATTTTCGCATTATATCCAGATTTCCAGTCCAAGCTGCAAGATGAATCACTGTCAGGCCATGCTTCAAATAAAATTACGAAGACAGAAATTACTGTTAGGAATTGGATTTTTTAATTGCCTTAAAACATTGCTACTGTAGCAAGCTGTGCAAAGAAGCCTCATGCCAGGAGACTGAAGATAAAGGCTGAGGGAAGGGGGCCTAGCCCACGAACTCTTAGCTTTGTGGAGGCCAGTAGGGAGTCTCTGAGTGTGTGATGCGTTTCTGCTATGAGCCAGACCACGTCAAAGGGGTCCTTCTGTGCACACACCCACCACTACCCCAAGAAGGCCTCATTCTGAGCAGGGGTGTCTCTGAAGCAGCCCCCTGCCCCAGCCTAAATGACTGGGAAAAAAACAGCACCTCCAGCCTCTGACCCAAAACTTACTTCTGTCTTGCAGGGTGGATTGCAACAACTACCACCAAAACACCTCACACCAAATTTCCTTAAATCTTACTGATTAATTCAGTGCATCAGGTTCTGCTCTGCAGGCTCTTAGAAAAGCAATATTAACACCTAGCAGTATGAGTGGAATTAAGGAAAATGTAATGCAACAAGACTTATCTAAATGTTCAGTGTGTCCTCTTCTTGACAGAAGGTCTGGCATCTCCAGAGAAGGACTGATCCCATTTTAAGGAAGGGTGGGAGGAGGGGAGGGGGTACTAAATACTACCTGCAAATTATTCTCTCTCTCTCCAGAAACTATGTAGATATTTAGCCCTGGGTGCAGTGGATGACAAATCAGGTGACTATATGTAGTGGCTCTATATCCATGAGTCACCATAATTTTCCATTTAGACTTTTTAAGGTTCTTTTCTCTCAAATTCTCTAAAAAATATTTCTATTATAGGGGAAAAAAAGAGAAAAAGGAAAAAAAAAAGAAAGAAAAAACCCCCGGTTTTTAACTTAGAAACAAAAGGGCTAACTCTACTCTGTGCTGATGCAGCCTCATTTTGAGTCCTGTGTGCAGTTTTGGATGCCACAATACAAGAAGGATATAAAGCTGTAAGAGAGTGTCCAAAGAATGGTCACAAAGATGGTGAAGGGCCTTAAGGAGAAGCCATACAAGGAGCGGCTGAGGTCACTTGTTTTGTTCAGCTGGGAGAAGAGGAAACTGAGGGAAAACATAGCAGCAGCCTCCAGCTTCCTTGTGAGGGGAAGTGGGACGGCAGGTACTGATCTCTTCCCTGTGGTGACCAGTGACCAGATGAGGTGATAGTGACTTCAGGGTACTACTCATAAACTATTCATTGAGTAGGAGAACAGTACAGGACAGAAGAGACTTCTGGAGGTCCCACTGCTATAGCCTCTTGCTCAAAGCCTGTCCAACCAGATTAGGTCACTCAGGACCTTCTCCTGGCAAGCTTTGAATAGCCTGAAGATTAAGACTAAAAAACTCTCTGTAAAATCTGTTTCAGTGTTTGACCACCCTGATAGTGAATTTTTTTTTCTTCTTCTATCTAATTAGGACCTCCCATGTTGCAATTTGAGACCATTGCCTCTTGTCCTGTCACTGTGCACCTGTGAGAAGAGTCTGTCTGTCTTCTCTGTATTCTCCCCACATGTAGCTGCAGACAGCCATAAGGTGTCCCCTTTACCATTCTTCTCCCAAGGCTGAGCAGGCTCACCTCTCTCAGCACCTCCTCATACACAGTTCTAATCATGCTGCAGTTCTAATCATCCTAGAGGCTCTGCACAGGACTACAGTCTATCAGTGTCTTTCCTGTATTTGCAGAAATTGCAGTGGAAAACAGTGGAGGGCAATATGGAACATGCATCTGGTGTGCAGGCTATGAGACAAATCTAGGCTTGGGCAAAATTTGTGACTGTTTCAAAAGTCTGCCCTGAAAAACCTTCCTAAGTATGAATAAGGAGAAAAAGTAACTAGAATTGATAGCCTTACACAATGAGACTAGTGGATGAGGGGAGAGACATAAATGTTTATCTCAACTTTCATAAGAGTTTTGACACTGTCCCTCATAACATCCTTCTAGACAAACAGAAATACAGGTGTAGGCAAACAGGTATACCAAGTTGTACTGAAAGCCAGCTGAACTACCAGGCCCAAAATATTCTTTGATTAGTACCACGAAGTCCAGATGGAGGCCAGTCACAAGCAATGCACACATTGATCCTGGGTCCAGCACTGTTTAACATCTTCATTAATGACCTGAATGATGGGGCAGAGTGCACCTGCAGGAAATTTACAGGTGGTATTAAATTGGAAGGAATGGCTGATAGACCAGATTGGTGTGCTACAATACAGGGGAACCTTGACAGGCTGGAGAAAAGACCTGGTAAGAAGATAATGAGATTGTACAGGGGGAAATCCAAAGTCCTGTACCTGAGGGGAAGCAAACTCAGGCAGCAGTACTGACTGGGGCCAACTGACTAGAAAGCAGCTTGGCAGAAGAGGACCTGAGGCTCCAGGTGGACATTAGGTTAAACATGAATCAGCTGTGTCCTTGCAGCACGCAAGGCAAATTATATCCTTGGCTGCATTAGGAAGGGCACTGCCACCTGGCCAAGGGCAGTGATCCTTCCCCTCTACTCACTGGTGAACCACACCTCTAGTATTGTGTCCAGTTCTGGGCTTTCCAGCATAGGAGGGACATGCCCCAGGGACATCTGACATATGAGAAGATGTTTAGCAACATGGGACTGTTTAGTCAAAGAAGACTTGGGTGGATCTTATCATTGTGCATAAATACCTGATGGAAGGGAGTGAAAAAGAACCATCCAGATTCAGTGGTGTCCAGTGACAGGGACAGAGGCAATGGGCAGAAACTGAAGTACAGGAAGATTCACTTCAACATGAGAAAAATCTTTTTTGCTCTAAGGATGATCAAACACTGGAATCAATTGCCTGGAGAGGTTACGGGGTGTCCATCCTTGGAGATAATCAAAACCTGATTGGACACAGCTCTGAGTAATCTGCTCTAATCAGGAGGCTGACTAGGTCATCTCCAGAGGTTGCAACCTCAGCCACTTTATATGATTCTCTCTGTATGCTATTTGGCAGAAGGGAGTCTGGGAGGAGAAAAGGAAGTACAAGGGTAGGAAAAAGGTGGGCAAAGGTAAAGACAAAAAAAAAGGCAAATAAGGCATAAAATCATATGGAAACCAAAAATGTGGAGAATTGTGTGATTGTGGACTCCTGCGCTAAAGGTGATAAGATGACCTGCAGACCCAAGCTCCCTCCAATATAGTGAGGGACTGCCTTGGACTCTTCATTGGGTCCACCTCTGAAATAGTTGTGATGGTAGGATGGATAAGAACAGGTAAACTTCTACCTTGATATTAAGTGCAGAAGGACAAGAATTGCAGCTTTGTATTATAAGATCTCTTTTCAGTAATTCTGTATCAATGCTAAAAATGGTAACAAACAATAAAATTGTAACTCAATCACTGCAGCTTGGGATTGATATAGTTGTGAATTAATACTGCTAATACTATTAATACTAATCAATAATACAATTAATAGTGGTGTGTTTATTGCCAGTTTCTTAGAAATGTGTTTCTTAATCAATAAACATCTTAACTACCTCCATGAGTTACATCAAGTCTCCAATCTAGAGATGGGAGCAAAACTTATCTGCTGCTAGGAATGCTGCTCTGTGTTTTTAGCTTATTTTTTGTACTGAGCTGTGTTAAGAGGGCTTAAGACTTTATGCTTATTAATACAAAAAGTATGTCAGAAATCAAGTCACAATATCTTCATGCTATTTCTTATCAGTTGCAAGATCAAATGGATTGCCAGAGAGTACATGAATCACTGTCAAATACAAAATGTAATGTCATAACATTTAAGTCCTGTAAGCGAAATATGATGGAGTGTCTCCAGTGGTCTTTCAAAATGATGATAAGCAACATCTAAGAATTAAAGACATTTAATAATTTAAGGGTAATCTTTAGTTAGAATGAGATTCTAAATGTCTAATAGAAACCCCAACATGCATGGAGGGTTCCACCGTGGCTTCAATGCAACTTATCAGGGTAATGAAAGGACCAGTAATATGTTTTGAGTCACCTCATTGCCTCAATAAATCTGAAAGACGGCTAGTGAAAAATAATTTGCCATAAAGGATAATTTACAATAGATACAGAATAAAATTTACACTATACCCACTGGTACTCTGTGGAAGATCCAGGGATCCATTTCTTAACTGTTAGAGAGCACTAATACTTGAAGAAAACTTCTTGCAGTACTTTTCCATTAGCTTTTATATTATAGACAATTAATTTTAAACTTCCATTCAGGCAATGTCTTTCAGCTTGCCAGACAAATGGGAAACGTTGCTTACAACAGTGCAAGATCTACTTAGGAGTTGATAGGGTCCAGAAGGAGGATATATTTCTTCAGAGCAGCACATGAGGTATTCACTGACAGAGCAGCTCAGGAGCACATTTCAGAGCAACTCAACCAGCATTAACAAGGAAATGGTTACCTGCACTGCAAGAACATGCCAAAGCCATGAGCCACTGATAACTGCAACTGACAGATCTCTCTCATTTTCATTCTAACACAATGTGAAAACAAGGCAGCTTTCTCCCTCCACTCTCCACAACCTGGCACTTATCTTATTTATAACTTAAACACTGTTGCATATGGTGGATGAGAAGTAAACAGCAGAAAAAGGTAAAGGTAAATTCATCAATTTTCATTACTCAGTTCAATGGAAAACTCCTGGTTTGAATAATAATAATAATAATAATAATAATAATGGCCATTCTTTGCGAGCGAAGATTTGGGAAAGGTCATTAACCTTTCAAGCCTGCGCAGTGGATTTTTTAGGTGAGACCCAGCGTGCGCTGAACTGAGCCCACCCTTTAATCCTGAGGTTCATCTGCCGGGGCCGAGCAAACTTGGACAGTGGCAGTGAGGTCCCCAGGACGTAGGTTTGTTTAGAGTGACCTTCTCTTAGATGGATTGCCTCACATGGCTGACGAGCTCCATCTGCCCGGGGGGCTGGGAATCGAACCCGGGTCGCAGCAGTGAGAGTCCTGCACCCTAACCACTAGACCACCAGAGGCCCCTATTGAATAGCATATTTATTAATAACACACCATACATTTGGGTTTAATATCTGACTCAAATCTTGCACTGTGGATCACCATCTGGCCCAAGCAAATCAGCCATACACAGATAAACATTTACCATCTTGGAGGCTGCAGAGCAGCTGACAGTTTTGCATTAAGCTACTCACATAAAAACAGAGGAAAAGAATACAAGGAGTACTTTCTGAGCCGCTAGCGATCCCCATAGCTCATTTTTACTTTCAGTGATCGCTTTCATATAAAGTGGCCCATGATTAATTTACAATTACCACAGACAGTGTATTTCAGCCACCCTTGCCTTGTGCTGATTCAAGTATTTAACTTAGCCAGTATTCCAGGCAACATATTTTTCTCTAACAACGTTTTTTCACATAAATGTGTGAAGTTCTAAGGCAAACTGGAGTTTTTACAGCAATCATTTAACTTTGCACAACTGGGAGCAGAAGATAAATATCTACTTTCACTTTTCCCCTAAGGTGTTCCTATACTGTGTGAATCAAAACAAGCAAAACAGCTTACCTGATCTGATATGTCAAGCCTAGCCTTGTGATGAAGAAGAAAATCCACCACTGATACATGACCTCCCGCAACAGCAAAATGGAATGCAGTGCGCTTCAGCTGAAATAAGCAAAGCTTTGTTTGTCAGGTCTGTAATACAGTTCTTTTCCCTGTGCAGGTGATCAGGATTTTGGAATTCTCTGATTATTACCAAATGTACCTGTTACTATATACTATTTCATATTTCTCCTTCAACAGTCTCACTACGTCTTTATCTACGTTTTTCTTCCCTTGTGGATAGAATTTAAGTACCGATCTTGGGAGAATTCTTTTAAAAACAGAATGGTTTAGTTAGTCTGCATAGCATTGTTCCTTCACTGAAATGTCAAAGTGGGATGAAGTATCAAACACGGCCTAGAGAAGATGAATGCAGTACAAGAAGCATCCTTGTTTACTATTTTATTTTATGGATTGATTTGAAAAGCTGAGAGCTAGATTTACACAATTAGATTTGCTTCTCATATCCTCCTTTTCACTAAATCTCTGCAAAGCATGACAAGATTTCTCCCTCATTCAGTGTTAGTCACCTTCCCAGACTGAGTCATTATCTACGTAAGTGAAAGCTACCATCTTGCCAGCAGTGAGTAATTTTACACAGGTAAATAGGTTCACTGCTTATCAGGAAGACTTGATTAATTGCTCTGTAAAGTAATTAATGGTCTGAATTTAAAAGGGATTGTTAAATTGAATTAAACTTTATTGGAGGGAGTTTGCTTTCAGTTAAAGTCAACATAACTGGCTTTAATATAATTCACTAATAGTTTCCATACAAGGAAGTATAAAGAGATCTAACCAATTAACTTTAAAAGTAGGTTTTGATTTGTTCTCTTATTCTTCTCTGCAGATCATCTGACTTATTCATGTGTAAGTTTAAACTTAAAGTGATATGCATTAAAAACGTAAAAAGGTGGGATTTACAACATGTATTTACGCCAGAAAAAAACTCTTGCACAGAAATAGTACCATAAAAACTCACCTTTTGACAGCCTTGCTTATTTGGCTTGGGAGTACAGGGGCAGGAATGATCAACATGAACAAAAAGAATGGCTTTGCCAGTATAAGCTACACCCCTATTAGGAGAATCAATCAAAGCACAACCCCCACATAGCTATGCTAATAACTCTCTCATAATACAAGTGTGATTTAAGGATGACAGAATAAAGTTTCAAACTACTTGACTGGAAATGTATTTAGTTTAATTTCCTAAATTCTGGCAATCAATAAGGAAGCAAGAACTATTTTACATGACTTTTTAGAGTACTATGCAATTGATGGGAACACTCTCACTGTTCAAAAGAAGTTTATACATAAAAAATTTTGTCTCCCTCTCTTTTTCACAAAGAAACCAGAGAATTCACATGTACTATTGAACATTCTCCAGTGGAGGAAAATAAACACAGTCATGGGAAAGAAAGTTTTTTTAGAACCTGTGGTTAACTTTGGATGTTCATGGATAGATGATTATATGTAGCCACTGAGGGCATGCTATTATTCACAACTCCCAGTTTAATGTCATGACCGCTCTGTTGCTGTTGAACTACTTCTCATGTTGAATACAGCACTATATTTTGTTAGGCCCAGAGTTCAAGGCAGCATAAGAAAAGCATTTTCATCTCTCTGGGCAAAATATGAACTCTGATCTCAGCCTGGAGCTAGAGGATGTGATAGAATGCTCCCATGGTTCTATACAAACCAAAGGGTAATACTTCACCCTTGAAATTTCTGATGTTAGTAGCAAAAATTAATTCTTAATGAGGTAAAGTCCTCCCACTCTAAAAGATGGGGAACTTGAGAAATTGGTCACTCAAGAACACTGAGGAAATATTATAGTAGGGACACAATTGAGAAGTCCTTATTTCCCAGTGTGATACCCTGACTAGTGGCTAAATGCAAAAACCTGTGAGTTACGCTGCACAAATCCTACTGTTCATGATGGATGTGTGAAATGTTTCTTAATTAGGTCCTAGAGGGGACTCCCACAGTTCCACCACCTTGCAGTTGATGGGACACACCAGCATGCTGGCATTCCACCAAGCAACCCCAAAGAGTCACATTTCATAGCAGTGATCTGTTAGGCACTTCATACTCACAGTATCTACAGCATTTAAATTAACATTCTTTTTAAACAGCTTTTCCATGGTTTCCAAATTGTTAATTTTAGCAGCATATTGAAATTCTCTCTCATCTGGCAATACTGTGGAAAAACATGACGAAAAAAATTGTATTATTAAAAAAATAGCCACAACCAACATAAGGGTAATGATACTTTTCTTACTTTCTGCTATTTGTCCTGATTTAATGCTACAAGAAAAATTTACTTCTCATCATAGGAGTGTTTCTGGACTACCTTTTTCTCCTTTAGAAATACTTGGCTAGTGTTTCTAATTTCAAATTTTAAGTGCAAATAAAGGTAGTTCTGAAACATTTCAGAACATGGATTACCTTTGTTTGCACTGCTCACAGGAACAGTTCTTTTACAAAGCTCTTGCCATCTAAATGGGTCCCAAATTATTTTACAGGCATACCAGTGAATGGTACAAACTGCAGCATTTATTTCTTGTTCTTTTGAGAAGCTGCTCTGTTTTAAAACACAACACACCACCAAAATACAAAAAAATCTAAAGCAGTAACCACATGGCATCACACAACTGGAAAAACAAAACAAAACAACTGAAACCAACCAAACCAACCAGGTTTTACAGGAGGCAAAAAGAAACAAACAAAAAGGTGTCTACTTGAACCCAAAATCTGGCCACAATGTGACATTCACTTTTAAACTGAGACCTTTCCTCAATGTCTCAATTCAAAAATGAACATCCGTTTGGTTAGCTAGAGTAGCTGCAACAGCACGTTCAGTAACTTTGGAAAGTAATATGCCAGTACCTTACAACTGGTTTAGCTGGGGGTCAGAGTATTTTTCATGTTTCTACCTTAACATTTGATTAATCACTTAGAAGAAAATAGCATAGCGGTTAAATCACTTGCAAAAATGTTAGTAGATATCTTTAATTCCCTAGCGTATCACACTTGTAATATAATTACTTAGATATCTTCTGTCTAGAATATTTTGCCCTGAAATCACTTGTCCAATGATACCACCAAAGAGGACAGCACTCTGTTGAACCAGGAACTGCAGCAATTAACTATTCCTTAGGGGCCTCTCAGGCAAATTCATCCTACTGCATTATGTCTAAGTTCATTAATGCCTAATAAGAACACAGCTTGAGGCAGTATGACTGCAGAGCATACTAAGGAAAATCAGTATAGCATTCACTTAATTGCATTTCACACATTCCCCATGTCTATAGTCTCAGGGGGAATAATCATAGTTGTACCGTAACAGAATGAGTTAGAAATTAAACTGGATACTTGCAAAGGTATTTCCCGTTTTCCTATGAAATTATCCAAGCACCTCAAACAAATGAAGCAACCTCCCAAATTTCTCTGCAAATCATAGAATATGTTTTGCTTGTATTACAACATGGGGGCACAGGGGAAAATAAAAAAAGAAAAAAAAAGCAGTTCCAAATAAAAAGGCACCCCTGGCATGTGTGACAAGGAGCATGCCTGACTGGAAAATCATCATTATGAACTTTGGGATCTTTGATCTATGAACAAAAGAATCTTTGAAGAATAAATTTCTTACTCCTAGTTTACATAGTCATTACCCTAAAGAAGTATCCACCAGAGCTTTCCACTAACTTAATTTCAATTCAGATAACAATGGTCAGAGGACACCTTGCTCAAGACAAATCTGTGGCAAATGTGGAAACAAAATGTACAGCACTAAGTAGCTGCAATTAGTTACAATTAGGCCACATTTGTTACTGCTGATGAACATCACACATATGTCTTACTTGAGAATGCAAAAATAAATGCACCTCAGGACATTCATGAACAACCCCAAGCGTTTACTCAACACTGCCTTCAAGAAACAAGAGAAAATTATGTTTCTTTAATGTATCTCCATCAGACACAGTACTGCAAGGACAGTTCTGTTGTAGTTCTGACAAAGAATTAATAAATGATCTTTTCTCTCCTGTCCAGGCTGTTAAAAGACCTTCTGTTCTGGGCATCATGTTTCTTTATAATCTCTCTCTTAATACCTCTTGTTAATTCATGAGTTAAGAACAGTGAGAATCCAGACATGCCATGACACTGATTTGTTGCCCAAACTTTTGCTGCTTTTGCAAACTGATTTTTTTTTCTCATGTATGAAATCACAGGAGTACAGAGCTGTCAGACTACAGATTTATGGAAGCTCTGGGGTCTCCAGGACTTGGCACTCCCTGTGTTACCAGTAACCACTCTATTTTCAAGTAACAGTAGCAATCAACTATCTACTTGAGGTTGTCAGGGTTTTTTAGAGGGTATTTTCTATGGCTTCATACAAAATGTCTGGCTTATTGCCCTACAGCTTGTATCATAACTGCATATTTATATTATAACAATAAAATAGTTATATTCCGTTTCCTAGAGAGTCCTGGCAGCAGTATATTGAATGTCCCAACATTGTTCATCTCTTAGAAGGGCAAGAAAATAAAAAGTGCAGAAAAGTAAATAGCTTTGTTGGTCTCAAAACAGAAAGTGAGGTACCTTCAATTCTTTTCTCATACTTATGTCTTAGAGGCCTCATTCTGTCTTTCAGTAATATCACAAATATGGATGATCTCCAACGAAGTAAAAAAGTGCTGCAGAGATTTCAGTACTTACAGACAATGAAAATCCCTTCATGTGTGTGTTCCCCCACCTCCCCTGTCTGTTTCTAATTTCCTGTTGTGGTGTCCACACGATGAAATCCAAAATTATCTCAAAAAACACATGGAAAAAAACCCCAAGAACTTGAACTGGCTGAAGATTCCAGGGAGGTAAAATAAAAAAATAACAACATTTAAATTCAAATGGCAATAAAATTGTTTCTAAAAATTAAGTCATCTATTTAATCATTTGACCACCTTTTCAATGGTTCCTTTGTTTTCTTGTTATTGGAAATAAAATTTCTAGGGCACTTAATGAGAATCTTTTTCTAAAATAGTAATTTTCTGATTCAAAGAGGTCATAGGAAAATCCACCGAGTGCAACAGTGATATTTTATCAATTTCTTTCCCTTCTTGCCCACTCTGCCAGCCTGGAAGCAGGAACTACAGCCCAGGAGAAGGGCTCCTGGTTGTCACGCTTCGATCACAGGACCGGGGCAAGGCAGGGTTTAACAACTACTTCTCGGTTTCCACAAATCAGGTCTTTTCACTAATTGCAGCCTACTCCAGAGCAGTCTGGTCTTTCACAGACTAATGTGCAGGATGAAAGCTGGAGAGCTCATCACTGAGACTTGTGTTGCTGAGTGCAAGGTCCTCTGATTTCTGTGTCCCCAAAATGGGGGCCCAGATCGGCTGTGGGACTGGTGGCAGGGGCTCAGCCCCAGAGACGTGACTGATGCCAGTGAACCCCCCCCCCAGAGCAGGTCAGGGGTGAAGCAGGGCACTGGGCAGTTTGCAGGACTTCTCCTTTGGAAGGCAACATCAAAATCAGCTTCTGACCCCACATCCACACATTTACTGATGTCTTTCACTACATGTAAAGGAGCTCATGTTTAACCTCGTCCTTTCCAAACCCCCACCGCTCATTTTGTTCTTCGGTCAAGGCAAAAAGCGGGTTTGGGAGGCTGCCACCGCCCCGGTAGCCCTGCCGGGGCTGTGCCCGCCGCACAGGGGCCCGGGGCTGCGCTGCCCCCCGGGCTGCCTCGCCTCCAACCCCCCGGACTCACGGCCCTCATGGCTGGCTGCCATGGCTCCCCGCACAGCATCCTCCTCGGTGCGGAGCAGGCGGCTCAGACCCTTCATCGTTGCCCTGGCTGGTCTTCCTCCTCACGCAAGGGAAGGGGCCCCAGGTCGGCGTGCGGAGGGAGGTGCCCTGTGCTGGCCTCGACAAACCGGTTCTGGGGCTCGAGGCCTCACACAGCCCTGCGGGCACACCCGCAGCACCACCCCACCACCTGGACGCATCACCCCAAGGGGCAGAGGTGTGGAGTAGCTTCGGGAGTCTGTTCTAACAAAGACCAGGAATTAAATATACTGCATTTCTTGGCACCAGCTAGGCACTGAGCAGGATCATCCTTGCCCCATCCAATCTCTAGGTCTTCTCTAGCCTTATGTGCCAATAGCACTTGGAACCTCCAAAAGCACACGCAAGACAAAAGGCAGTCCCGTTGCACCACACAAACAAGTAACACTTTATCACTAATTACCAGGTAGTCATGGTTGCATTACTAATTACTCAGTGGTCCCAGAGCTCTCTCTGCAGGTTGGAGTCCATTTGGGAGAGTTATTCTCACCACTGTCAATCAATGTACACTGCACTGGGAAGGGTGACTAGCTTGACACAGCCTCAGGATGTAAGAGACTGAGGTGCCTCTGCCATAAATTTGTGCATAACTACACAAATGCACTAGCAGTCTTGATCCAATCACAGTTTCAGGTAGGCAGTATTTTCATTTGCTTTTGTCAAAGTCCCATCAAAATAAACACGCATCCCCCAAAAGGGTCAGTTTTTGTGAAATGACATGCTGAGATCCATCCAATCTATCTATTCCTCAATTTATCTTGCAGTCCCCTGTTACTTTGATCTACTTAAGGCAGCATTGATATTTCATTTCACACAGACAATGATGTTTCTCAGGGCATAAAAACTGAGTGACTACCCTAAATTTTACTTCAAGAACAGCTTTTGATATTGCTGACATTTCAAAACAAATACTGGGAAAAGTATAGCTCCAAGAATGCAGGAATATCAATATTCAGCCTTACAAAACTGTAGACAGATTTGAGTTCCTTCAATGTAATTTTTTCTTAGTAATTAAATTACACCATTGTTTTAATTTCCAAGATTATAAACACGATACCTGTCCGTGGTAAAATTAATCAGAAAGACTCAAGAGTTTGTAAACTGAGAAAATTTGGATACTAAACTATTGGCTCAGATTCAGCTTATCACAGATCAAAAGATTTCACAGTTCTTTTCTCCTTTAAACACTTTTGATACAGACAGGCTGTAATGTATAAAAATCTTTACATTTGATACACCTTAGTCTGATAGGATAATTACATCAACTGTACTTAAAGCAGATGAACATTACCCAGCCAAAAAAACCCTGAAATCCTGGGAAAATACACCAAGTGAGAAGAACAAGCAACTGATTTTATCATAGTTGAATTACGGAGGTTTCACTTTTTCTTGTTTCCCATCAAATGTTCCAGCAAAATTCCTTAAGAGGAAGTTTTACTTCTGTATGATGACTGGGCTAGTAGTACAGACCCACTGTTTTCAGCATTAATGCTCCTTCTCAAAATGAGTGACCAGAGACAACTAGGAATGATCAAATTTGCCTACAAAGCTGGTACCAAAGGAGGAACAGAGCATGAGTTACAGTAAAATCACAATTTTACATACAGTCAGGAAACACCAGCTGCTCGTTTCCATTCTAATTACTAACATACAGTACTATTTCAGAGCATATCATATGTGTACAACTACATGGGCTCAAATTTTGCAAATAGCAAGTTTACCACATTTTCTAACTACTTCCCACAATACTGACTCTTTCAAATGGCCCCAACAAACTGCAGAAACCTACAGAGATGCAGAATCCAAAACAAAGTGCAGAGCAAGGAAGTAATGTAACATATTTCTCACTTGCCTTCACAGCATCTCTGACAGGAACTTAAAGAACTTTCTGTAACATTTAGTATTAAAGTAACAGTAGTAATAAATACATAAATGAACCAATATAAAGGTAAAATGTAAGACCCAAGCATGTTGAATAGTGCATAAAGGAGAAAAAGCATAAATTATCTCCTGTAAAAGAAGGTGAGATTTGAAGTCTAGTTTAAGTATTTTTTTATTAAACTGTGTATTAATCTTGTTAAACTGTGTTCTTCTACTTAAAGTATGAAACTACAGGATTCTGAGTCCTGCAGTGCATGAATTCTTAGTCTGTTCAACTGTAGCTCCTTACAGTTATCCTCATCCTTTACGGTTACAGCTGCTTGTTGCCACCGGCCTTTGCTTAGAAGTAGTAATTAGAACAGTGAAATGGACAGGCCCAGCCTCAACAGGTGCTCATGTATAACAAGTGGCATCAGAATGACATGGCACAGATCTCTGCAACACCAGCCAGATGACAAGCCTGGGCCACTGCAGCGGCTCCCTCAGCTGACTTGTGGGCAGTATGATTCTTAATAACTCCAGCCCTTGGCTCCGACCTGCAAACTACAATGTGTGAGAGGGAGACCGGGCTGTGATAAACCATCCCCAAAATAATTCCAAGGTGGATCAACCTACAGGGAGAACATGTCAAGCCCAAACTCTGTCCCGCTCATGTTTCTACCTGTTACCAACATGCTGCGGTCCGAAGGGGGGATGGGGCCGTGGCACAGCACGGTCCGAGACACAAGGTAGGGTGCAGGTAGAATCGTTTATTGAGGTGTGCACTGGATTCTTTAGCAGTTCAGGTGGGGAAAAGGCCAGAATATAGGGTGGGGCATGAGACAGACAAACGGGGGAGCAAATCAGGATAGGGGCACAAGCGAAAGAGGGAGGAAGGTGGGAGGAACCGGGGAAAGAAGGGGCGAATGGAGGCTGTCTCCTCTCTGCAGCTTCTCCAGCCAGTCCGCAGGAAAGCAGGGAAGTGGATAAGCCTGAACATGACCGGGAGATACAAATTCTGGGGAAGCATACAATGTGTATATACATAATAACTGTAAAGTCCGTATCATAAAGTCCTTTCAATCGCTGTACATATTTTTCCACTTCTGAAATTCCTCCCATTCTGATTCCTGGTCCTTCACACCAACACTTCAAAATTATAGCTCTATGACACTTCACTTTTAAACAGATGGTAAGACAACTTTCAAGGCTTAGTCAAACTAACTTAATTTTTTCAAGCCCTTACAGTAGCTTAGTTTTTGCTAAGTAATTCTTACATAAAAATACACAATTTAAAGATACACACACAATGACAAGGTAATACTTAGATTCTACACTTTATTGAATCAGACAGATACAAACTAATAAAGGGAGAGGTGTTCACTTTCTAAACAGCAGTGGCAGCTTAATGTTCCCCCAGCTGCTTTTATGTCTTTCCTACCAAAAGTTTCCAGCTCCCACCTCTGTCAACCGAACAGTTCATGCTGAATGCTCACTGACCTGGTTCAGAAAAAGTCAACTCAATCAATTTGCACAGCCTGAACTAGTCCAGCTGATTTGGTCTGAAGAAGGTAAGGGAGCACTGACATGAAGTCAAATGACAGAGCTGTGGGTACAATGGCATCTGGCAAACAAACAGACAAGCAGGTTGAGATGGTGTAATCATTCCAGCAATTTTGGAAACAAAAAAGCACATTCTGGACTTAGCCTGGGCATCTAAGACATACCATGTACATACTGGATTAAAAACCAAGCAAATCCCCAAGTATTTCCAACACAGTTAAACAACAAAATAGATGCTTCTACAGTAGCCACTTCTTTAAATCAGTTTGCAGTCAAAAAGCAATTTATATTTCATACAGGGTTTAGCACTGTTTGTGTAACTTCTAAGAAATATGCTGTCATAATAAATTATTTGTCAGATAAATATTTAAGTATAATAAAATTCCTTTAAGCATTTTGTCATCAACAGAAAAGGCTAAAGTGTATTTTAAATATTTGCACTTAATTCCTTCCTTTAACATATGCACTGATAAAATATAATTTATTCAGAAATACAAAATAATTTTAAAGAGAAATATAGGTAAACAGTAAGAGGTTCATCATCTTGCATATTTGCACATAATTCATTATTATTGCACCATGAGACCTTTTATTTAGAGTAAATTAAGTCCTACTGACTGGTGACAATTTCAAACCATGAAGAGTTCTCAATCTCTTTGGAAAGGTCAAGGATCAAATAGCATTTGTCTGACTACACTGCAGGAATCCTTCTCTCAATTAGCAGAGTTTTATTAACATTTTCTAAATCAGTGAAGTCATCCCGTATCTCACCGCAGTGAGATGGACACGGCTGGTCCATCGATTCTTACTGAAGTAATTTTCAGTAAAACAATGAAAGCTTGATAGTGCTCTAAGTTCTTGTTCTTGTCCTTTGAAACTGTGAGACCAATAAGTTTTTTTGTTCACTGAGAAGACATTTGCAAGCTGAAGTCAAGCAACTCAGCTCTTCTTTGTTACCACACAGCCAATATAATAATTAAATTTGGCACTGAATTGTCCAGGGAAGTGTCAGCCTGAGCTACTACAATTACCACAGTGAGGATGGCAGGTCAGGTGTGGTCCTGAGAGAGAATGGCAGGTCAGGTGTCCTGAGAGAGCCTTCAGTAAGTACAGTGTAGCACCCTAGCTAATGATTCCTGCTCTCTAGGGAGCTTGCCCTACAAGCTTGCTCAATGGCAGCTCTACCCAATCTGTTCCGTTTTTTGAACAGCAGAGAGAATTCATGAGGCTGCTCATGGCTCTCAGAAAGTTCCACATGTTCAATACAAACAAAATCATAGTGCTAGCAGATTTTGATTCTTGGAAACAACTGGGGAAAAAAAAAATTGCCTCATTTATATTTGCACCTCTTCTTCTACCTCAGACATCATGTTCTTTCTATACAGATATGCAATGGCTCCAAAGTGACAGGCACCTGAATCCAGCCTACCAACAATGCTAAATTAATTTGCAGTCATAAAACTGTATGAAATACTTCATATAGAATATGCTGCTACACAGTCATTTAAAAAACGTTTTGATTGTATGCTTGGAATTGCTCAACTTGGTCTTTTTTGATACTGATTGTGAAGTTGTTAATCCAGACCTGAAG